CATTATCAGTGTACATTTCCACTGACATGTGTTCCCTTCACTCTGTGTCTCCACCATCACTTGCTCTTGTTAGTCATTTTACTAATACACATTGTTACTGAGGTGGGGTGATATTTCATTGTCATTTTGATTTGCATTCCCCTCATGATTAGTAGTGTTGAGTATTCATGTATGTATTGGTCAGTCACATGTCTGGTGAAATACTTATTCAAGTGAAATATAATGATTTTTACTATAGATCATGTCTCATGAAACTTTACTAAACACATTTTTTAAGTTGTTTCAATGAATTCCTTAGATTTTCTATATATAAGTCTATACCATCTGCAAATAGAAATAGTGTTAGTCCCTCTTTCAAATCTGGATAACTTTTATTTTCTTGCTCAATTGCTCTAGCTAAAACCTCCACAACAATGTTGAATAAAGTACCAAGATTAGGTACCTTTGTCTTATCCTGTTCTCAGGAAGAAAGCATCATTGTTCATTAACTTTTCATTTTAAAAAAAGTCTAATGTCTTGTTTAATTGAAGAAGTTGCCCTATGTTCCGTGTTTGTTGGGCATTATTACAAAGGCATGTTGAATTTTGCTAAATACTTCTTGGATATAACTTTCTTTTATTCATATGATATGGCTTTTATCCTGTTGATTATGTGGTATATTATATTAGTTGATATTTAATTTTTTAAAACTGAATTCCTAAAAAAATCCACTTCATAGTGTATAATCCTTTTAAATATCACTGAATTGAGTTTGCTAGTATTTTGTTAAGGATTTTTGTATCAGGGTATTAGACAGCAATTTTCTTCTCTTGTGATATCCTTTGATATTGTGGTAATATTGGCCTCATAGAATGAATCAGGAAGCACTTATGCCTCTTTTTTGGAAAGTTTATAAATAACCTTCAAATGTTTTGTAAAACTAACCAAAGAAGCCATCTGTGTTTGGGCTTTTCTTTGTAGGAACTTTTTTGGACTTACTAGTTTGACCTCTTTGTTATAAATCAGTTCAGATTATCTGTTTCTTTTTTAATCAGTCTCATAATTTAAGTCTTTCTAGGATCTTGTCCATTTCATCTAGGTTATGTAGTTTGTTAATGTTGTAGTCAGGGTTTACAAGGGAAGCAGTTTAATGCAGGACATATAAAATATAGGATTATTTTATAGCAGTCACCCAAAGAGTCAAGTATAAAACAGTCCAGGAAATATGTCCACACACTAAAGACCCAAAGAATCCAGCTGAGGCTCTGGATCCCACAGTAATGTCCTGCAGGGGTCCAGCTGAAGACCTAGAGCCCATGACAGTGCCCACCCTCACCCACCACAAGTCCAAGCAGAGACTTAGAGCCCATGACAATGTCTCATACAGACCTGTTTCATGGATCTACACTGGGAAGGCTTAAAGGTTGGCAGTGGGAGCTAGAAAGTCTGTGCCAGGCTGGGGAGATAGCTCAGCAGTCTAAATGCCTGCCTGGAAAGCATAAGAACCCAAGTTCAATCCCAGGTACCACATGCCACACCAGCACCAGAACTCTGGGCACACCATGCTGGCCACCGAAACCAGGAGTGGTGGTCCACACCTGTAATTCCAGCACTGAGGAGGCTGACACAGGAGGATCACTACAAGTCTGAGCTGGGTAGTGAGACCCTGTACCAAATATATATATATATATATATATATATATATATATATAGAGAGAGAGAGAGAGAGAGAGAGAGAAAAGAATTTTTTAAAAAAAGAAAGAAAATGTGCCAGTGGAAAGAAGGATCTGTGACAATAAACTGAGGGATCTGTACTGGAGCCGAGAAACAACACTCAAAGTAAGAACCAGAGCTCCTCTGAAAGGTACCACAGCCATCCTCAGAGATAACAAGGTCCGGAGCTCCTCTGCCACTAAGAACAGCTGAACTGAGTTCATACCAGGAAACCCAGCATGACAAGCTCCTCCAGGAGAACCCACAGCCCTGCCTCTTGCTCTCCAGTTCTCTTTTGTATGCCTATGGGCAACAATCCTCAGGGGGGCCTCCCACACCCAGCACTACACTGATTCAGTTCAGCCAGGTGTTACAAATTGCCCACTAATTTTCAGTCCACCACAGTTAGCATATGGCCATTGATGGTATGTCCTATTATCCTTTTTATTGAAATTGATATCATTTACTTCTTTCTTCTCTTTTCGTGCTCCATCCACCCTAAAGAGTTGTCCATTTGTTGATATTTTCATAGAGCAAATTTTGGTTTTATTAATTGTTCTCTGTTGTTTTCCTATTCTGTCATTTCTTTCTACATTAATCTTTGTTACTTCCACCCTTCTGTTTGCTTTCATTTGGGGTTGCTTTTTTCTTCTTGCTGTTCTGAAGCAGAAGGGTTGGTTATTGATTTTAAAACATTTTAAAACACATTTATAATATATTTTTAAATTTATAAATCACTTTTATTTGTAATAAGATTTTCAAATATTTTTCAGCAATAACTCATTCCTGTACATTTCTGTTACGATCTTATATTGACATTTACATTCTTTTTTTTTACTTTAATTTGTATTTTTATTTATTTTTTGTATTAATTTTATTGAGAAAGAAGTAGCAATGAGACAGTTTCAAAACAGGTTAGTAGGACGGTTACAATAATTAATATATTGCATATTGTTGTCTTCATAGTAGTTATTCATAGTACTATAATGTATTTTTAACTTTTTTTTCCTTTGGTACAAACGAGAGACAGGAGAGAGATGAAAGAAGCCTTTATTGCTTGGCACGGGAGGGTTGCTGAAGCCTGCAAGAAGCCTCTGATGCAGACAAAGGAATGTGGTATTTATTAGGTCAGGTTGGGGGCGGAGTTTACATGGGAGATCAGAGTGTCATAAGGAGCCCTGATTGGAGAAGGCTGCCTATGTGCACAGAAAAAGAAAGGAGGAAGTTGAGGTTAACCAGGGAGAAGAAGGCGGAAGTGAGTCTTGGAACTGCGCATTGTTTTTGGATCCTCTCGCCATGTTGGCTCGCTGCCCTGATAACTTAGCAGATTTTCCTATGAGCATAGAACCATCGGTGTTTACTTTTCGTCACTGTTTAATTTGTATCCTATACGTTTTTGTATGTTGCTTTTTCATTTTTATTCATCACAGAGTACTTCCAATTTTCCTTATGACTTTTTTCCTTAATACATTGGTTACTTAGGAGTATATCAATTTCCATGTATTTTTATACTTTTCTAATTTTTTGACTGTTACTGATTTCTCACTCAATTCCACTGTGGTTAGCAAAAGAAATCAGAGTGAAGAGACAACCAACAGAGTGAAAAAATATTTGCCAGCTGTTCCTCAAAGGACTAATATCTAGAATATATAAAGAACTCAAGAAAACCAGACTCCACAAATTTAAAAACCCAATGAAAAAAAAAATGGGCATCTGAAATGAATAGAAACTTCTCTTTTTTTTTTTTTTTTTTTTTTTTTTTTTTTTCGGAACCAGGGATTAAACTCAGGGCTTGCCCTTGCCAGGGAAGTGCTTATTCCACTGAGCCATCTCCCCAGCCCCGAAACTTCTCAAATGAAGAAGTAAAATGGCAAATAAATATTATATTAAAAAGTTCAATATCTCATTATCTGAGAAATTAAAACAACTCTGAGATTCCATCTCATTCCAGAAAGAATTCCTGTTTTCAAGTAATCACCTGCCCTGCCGGCCCCGCCCCTGGAGCACACTGAGAGGGCAATTGAAACTGGGCATGGTGGCACACACCTGTAATCCCAGCACTTGGGAGGCTGTAAACAAGAGGATAACTGAGTCGAATCTATGCAGTGAGACCCTGTACACCCTACAGATCCTATCCTAAAGTACAAAACAGAGAGAAAGAAATCAACCACTAACAAATGCTGGCGGGGCTGTGGGGAAAAGGAACGCTTCTCCACTGTTTGTGGGAGTGTAGACTAGGCAACTACTGGGGATATCAATGGCGATTCCTCAAAATACTAGGATTAGAGGTCCCATTCAACCCAGCTATTCTCCTTGACAGCTTCCCAAAAGAATTAAAAGCAACATAGCACAGTGATATATGATTGCCCATGTTTATAGCAGCAGAGGTTGTAATAGTTAAATCTTGGAAGCAGCCCCAATGCCCATCAATGGATAACTAGATAAAGGAGCTATGGTTGTTTATACAATGGAGTTCTACTCAGCCATCAAGAAGGATAAACTTAAGACATTTCTCGGTAAATGGATGTACCCTGAGACCATACTGATATATGAAATCAGACATACATATTTAAATAAGGAAGAAAATATTCACATAGGAAGGGAAACAAGGAGAAAAGAAGGAAAACAAAAAAAACAGAAGGAAAAAATGGAAGCAAACCTTTTGTAAATGTGGAGGGGAAGAGGAGTTGAGGTGAAGGGAGGGAATTGGGTGAAAAAGAAGCAAAATATATTACATAGAAGTATAAATTTCCTGTGATTAATGTCATCATTATGTATCTCTTAAATGTACAACTAAAATTAATTTTAAAAATTAATTACATTCTTGTTAGAGAAATACTTTGTATGATTTCCATCCTTTTAAATTTGTTGAAGCCAGGTGTGGTGGGGCATGCCTCTAATCCCAGTACTTGAGAAGCTAAGGCAGGAGGATCACTGAGTTCAAGGCCAGCCTGAACTGCACAGTGAAACCCTGTCTCAAAAAGACAAAAAACAAAATGTTGAGGCTTATGTTATGGCCTATGATAGTAATAAACTAAGCCATAGACAAGCTATAAGTTTAATAGAAATGAACAGGTAAAGAGACAGTTAGGAATGTCCTATATCATCTGAATTTTTGTGACTCATATGTATCACCGGATTGCTTTCTAAAAGGATTATACAAATTTACAGCACTACTAATGATATGTGTGCGTATTTCACTTAGTATGTGATTTATAATTCTGCTGATTGTACTTCTTGTTCATTGTGGTGTGATATCAGAGAATCAGATACCACTTTTGATTTGTGTTCTATTCTTTTCTCCCAAGGCCCCTGGAACCTGCATGGCCCCAAGTAGTGGGTCCTTTCCCAGTACACACAGTCAACAAACATCTAGAGATAGTCGTCAAGGTCAATGGCAACGTCGGAGAAGGCTGGATGGAGCACTGAATAGAGTCCCAGTTGGATTTTATCAAAAAGTGTGGAAAGTTTTACAGAAAGTAAGCATAACACATTGTTGAGATCTCTTTATTTTTCCCCTTAAAGTCAGGCTCCTTGACTGTGATATGATATAACTATTACAACATTATAATTATGTAAAGATCATTCTATTCAGAGGAACAATCCTATGCTTGAAGAAAAACTAAAAATGAAACAACATACATTACTGTGACATTATTGATAACTTAGCCTCTATTATTGGCAATGGTGTTGTTTCTAGATTTGTTTTTACATATGGTGATTTATTTGCTTTAGGTTGCAGTTGTACATTGTGGTATGCTGTCATACATTTGCTACTAGTAAAATTATTTGATGCTAGTGAGCTCCTTTTTGTAGCTATTGAGCTACTATGGGTTGGAAATATTATTTGTAGCTATAACCACATATCACTGTAGTAAAGCAAGTGCAACATCTGAGAAGTTTTAGATGTTACCTGTATTATCTCTTAAATGAAGGCTACTAAACAAATTCAGTCATAACAATTCTCATCATCCAGAGACTCTCTTGTATAACCAGTACTTGTTTTTCTTTCAAAGACCTATTTTGCCAAAGACATGTAAGGACACATGACACTGCTGTGAGGTTGCAGTTTTGGAGGGCCAGGAAGATTGTTGTGTTCATTCACAGGTATCACTAGTAATCTTTCACTGCCCTTGATAAAGACCTAAAGAATACTTCATCCAGTTTTTCAAAACCTTTGAATATGTTTTTCCCCTCAGCCTGTTGATAATCTTTCCAGGGATGATCAGGTGATTTTTGGAAAAAGTAAAAGTGATTTCTCAGATTACTGGCTCTGACAGTATTCCTTTCAGAGTATCTGGAACTTTCTCTTTCATTCCAGCTAGCTGTTATAACACAGTGGTAGCAAATATGTATTTTATCTCTCCAGTTATGCATAAGTTATGGCAATTCAACTTAACAGACATATATTAGGTATTGTTCTGTCCCAGATACCATATAAGGATCATGCAAAGTATGTTCTTTGTCATCAAGTAATTGAATCATCTTCTTAAAAAACAGCTATGAGAGGGCCGGGGAGATGGTTCAGTGGAATAAGCACTTCCCTGGCAAGCTCAAGGTCCTGAGTTCAATCCCCAGTTCCGCCAAAGAAAATAAGAGTTTTTTAAAAAAAACAGCTATGAGGGACTGGGGAGATGGCTCAGTGGAATAAGCGCTTCCCTGGCAAGCACAAGGGCCTGAGTTCAATCCCCGGTTCTGCAAAAAAAAAAAAAAAAAAAGCTATGAGCTAACCATTAGCATATACCTGTAATCCCAGTTAGAAGCTACAGAAGGAGGATCGTGAGACCCTATCTCAAAATGAAAAGGGCTGAGAAGTAGTTCAGTACTGAAGAGCTTCGTTATTATATGTGAGATCCTGGGATCAATCCCCAATAGCACTCCCACAAAGACAGACAGACAGACAGACAGACAGACAGACAGACAGACAGACTAGATAGCTCAACTGTCTAAGCATCTGCCTGGCAGGCACAAGGTCCTGAGTTCAATCCCCACTACTGCATGCCTTGCCACCCTGAAACCAAGAATGGTGGGGTAGGCCTGTAATTCCAGCACTGGGGAGGCTGAGACAGGAGGATTCCTATGAGCTTGAACTGCATAGTGAGATCCTGTATCAAGAAAATAAAAGGAATAAAGAAAGATGTAAAGCAAAAATGGTTTGTAATAAAGGTGCCTAACCACAAAGCTGTAGGAGTACAAAAGTAATGTTATGGCTTGTGTCTATACGTCCCCCAAAAACATAATCTGGTCATAGGTGGAGCTCTTTGGACATGGCTGGATCTAGAATGTATGCTACTGGGATTAAGGATGTGATGCTGGGATTGATTCACTCTGTGATGCTAAGATTAAGGCTAATGCACCCTGGATGTGAGGGCTACCTACCCGAACAACACACAGCCTGAATAAAATGTAACAGACAGAAAGAAAATTGCTGTCACTGCTTGTGGCTTGCTGCTTGCTACTTTACTGATTGCTGCCATTTACCTGCCATGCCATGAACTATTTTCCTCTGTGATGCCTCTGTGCCATGCCCCCCTGCCTTGGAGCCAGAAAACTTGGGACTGAAATCTCTACAAACCGTAAGCTGAAATGAAGCTTTCGTTCTTTAATTTTGGGTGTTGGGTATTCCGTCTTAGCAATGAGAAAGGTAACTAAAACCAAATTTGGTACCAAAGAAGTGGGGTATTGCTGTGACTGTACCTAAGCATATGTGTGATGTATTGAAAACTGGTGGGCAACTTGTAACACCCAGCTGAACTGAATTAGCACAGTGCTGGGTATGGAAGGCCCACCTGAGGATTGTTGCCAACAATATAGAAAAAGAACTAGAGGGAAAGATGATGTGCTGTTGATCCTCCTGGAGAAACTTCTCATGCAGGTTTCCTTGATATAAACTCAACTGTTCTCATTATCAGAGGAGCTCAGGTCCTCACTGTTGCTGAGGATGGCTCCCCCTTTTTGAGGGAGCTCTGGTCCTTATTTTGAGTGTCCCTTTCTGGCTTCAGTGCAGAGCCCTCAGACTGCAAACACAAATCCTTCATCCTGCTGTCAAAGACGTTCTAGCTTCCACCACTGACCTTGAGGCCTTCCCAGCACAGATCTTTGACACAGCCCTACATGAGAGGTTGTCATGAGCTCTAAGCCTCCAGTTGGACTCATGAAGCACATTGCCATGGGCTCTAGGCCTTCAGCTGAACTCATTCAGGACATTACTGTGGGACCCAGGCCCTCATTTGGATTCTTTAGGTTTCTAGTGTCTGGACAGATCTCGCACACTCTTTTTCATTTGACTCTTTGGGAGAGTATTATAAAATAATCCTGTAAATTATGTGTCTTGTATTCTATCTTTTCCTTTGCAAACCCTGACTACAGCAATATGGCTTAAGAGCCTTTGGAACTGGCTTGTGGGAAGAGTTTGGAGAGGTTTAGAGATGCTGGCTGAAGAAGCAACCGAAATGTTTTAATCTGTACTTGATGAGAGACTCTGATGGCAGCTCAGAGGAGCAGAAGGCAGACAGAAATGCTACCAGTAAAAATCAGGTGCAGGATGTCTCTGGGAAAGACCATATTCATTGTTGGACTCCAGATGATACATATTATACCTTGGCAAAAAGATTATCTGCATTTTGCTTGTGTATAGAGACTCTGATTAAGGGTGGTTGGACTAATTAATCTTGCAGAAGAAATTTCAAAGCAGTTGAACGTTGAGGTGGTGGCATGGCTGCTGTTGGGGCCAGATTTATGTTGAGAATCAACAGCAAAGAGTACAGCAGAATGATTTAAATGTGAGTTTTATGAGAAAGAAAGCTCAGTAAAGCTGTGGACGGAAACGATGGAGCAGAGGAGAAAATAGTTGTAGAAGAAAGAGCACAATGAAAAGATAGCCTGAGGACATCACAAGAAACAGTTGGACTCTAACCTTTGCAGCCTCGAGGTTGCAAAGGTTTAAAAATTTGCCTTGAGAAGAGAGCCCCAGAGCACCATGTCCCAGAATGGTGGTGGCCTACAGAATTTGTTCTTCAGAATTGGATTCAGAGTGCTCAGCAATCCATGCACTGAACCCATACAAGCAAGGGAGAAGGAAGCCTGGCTACCACTCCAGCTGGCAGCAGAACTTGACCTCATCCATGTGGCACTGGTTTTAGATGCATGCAGAGTGCAGGAGTTTTTGGGTCAGGAAGGCTTCCCAGATTTCAAAGGAAGGCCTGGGAGGCCAGGCAGTACACTCTCGAGAGGGCAGTATGTGAAGTTGTGAGTGTGAAGCTGACAATGCAGTGGAGGCCACAGAAGGTTGGAGAAGCCAAGAACATGAATCATGTAAAGAAAGCTGCAAGGAGTGACCAGAACTGACCCAAAAGAGAAACCATGGGTGCTACAACTACTGGTAGTGCCATAGGGACAGAGCCATCCAAGCCCTTTGGAGTTCACATCTTGCCACAGATTGCCTCAGATTATGAACATGGAACTACAGGACTTAATGTTTACCTTGCTGGATTTTTTAATTGCTTTGGTTCCATTCTTTTCCATCCCCCTATTTTCAATAGAAATGTTTATCTTGTGCCATTGAATGTTGGAAGTGTTTAACTTTCTTTTCATTTATACAGGGGCTCATAGCTAAGAGTTTCCATTAAATCTCAGAGGAGACTTTGCATGTGGGATTTACAGAAACCATTAGGACACTGGCAACTCTTAAAGATGGACTAAATGCCTTTCGAATAAAGGGATGTGCATGAGTCTTTGGGGAGCCAAGGGTGGAATATTATGGCTTGTGTTTAGCTTCCCCCCCCCAAAAAAAAAATCTTCATGCAGTTTTGGTGGAGCTTCTTAGAGGTGCCTGGATCTAGAGTGTGATGCTGGGATTAAGAATGTGATCTGCTATTGCTTCATGATACAATTATAGCATTAAGGGTATCCCACATTGAGTGTGAACCACTGGGGTGAGTAGCCTGGACAAAATATGTACCAGTCAGTGCTTACTAAGGAAACAGATGCAATACAAGATTTACAAATATATAATAATTTACAAGATTTGCTTACAATGGCTGCTCACAGAGTCAGATGTGGAATATCTACTGTACATTTTGGATCTGTTTACTCTTTCAGCTTCTCACAGCAGGGAGAAAAAGGACTGTCTACATACTGGATATCCAAAACATCCAGTTAAAGGACAGGGCAGCACACTGTAGTGTCCCATGCAAGTCTATATGAGGAGTCCAAAAGATTTGCGCTGGAGACTCAAGAATCTGTTCCAGAAGGCTGAAGACAATTCCAAAGTAAAGGTGAAGACTGGAGCTCTTAAAAAACTGAAGCAACAGCCTTCCTTCTTCATTTCTCTTTTATACCATTCTGGCAACAATCCTCGCTAGGGTGGTTCTTCCGCTCCCAGAACTCTGCTGAGTCAGTATATTTCTTACTCAAGTTGACACAGTTACCTATCACAGAGTATAAGGGACAGAAAGAGTGATACTGTCACTGCTTGGTACTTGCTCTTTGCTACTTGCTGCTTGCTACTTCACTGCTTGGTGCCTTGTGCCTGCCATACTATGGAGTATTTTTCTTCTATCATGCCCCCTGTGCTGTGTCTCCCTTCCTTCAGCCAGGCAACTTTGAAATGAAACCTCAACAAACTGGGAGCTGAAGTAAACATTCACTCCTTTAATTTTGAGTGCTGGGAATTTTGTCTCAGCAACAAGAAAGAAAAACACAAGAGGAAACATTTAAATTGTACCAGGAAGCTTGAGCGTTTTGTGTCAGAATTAAAACCTGGACTTTGGATTCTAATGTAAGAGGAAAAACCTATGCCCAGTTTTTCCATTCCATTCTTTTTAGAATACAAAAATAATAATATTGCACATACATTTGAAGGCTGGAAAGCCTTTGTCCAAACACTATTGTTCAGTGTATGTGATATGGAGTGGGACTGTCTACTGGAATCAGCAAACATGTTGTATTGGAACCTTTTCTGGGGCTGTTTAATGTATAGTGTTTTGATTTATTTATAATCTAAAATAGTAAATCAATAATTTCCATTATTTTTAATAATTTAGTTAATATTGATGGAGAAGATAAAATGTTATTCATATACCATTTAATGAGCATCTACTGTTCTGTAGGCACAACAAAGACAGACAACAACATCTATCCTCATGGAACTTACCTTCTACTAGAGAAACCTAGAGAGACACAATGTATAATAAACACAATAAGGAAAATATAATATTAAACGATTGCAAGTATTGGGGGAAAAGTACAGCAGGGTGAAAGTATTGATGGGGAAATGGGATGCTTAACTAGAACATGTAGTAGTGGTATGTGTCAAATAAATATATATCTGAATTTTCTCCTGCAACCTAAAATTTCTTCTAAAGGTCTTATTTTTGGTGGCTCTGGGACCTAGCATGATATCCTCCCAAGTGGTCTCTGAATATGCAGTATTAATCTACCTCAGAAAGGAGAGATTCCCTATGCAGCCCACTGTCCTATATGTAGGATAAAACCTTGGGGCTTCTGTTGTCCAACGTTGCACATTAGCACTTAGAAATCACAACACCATGGCAAGGGTGCCTGAGGTGCCAGGCTTCTTTCTGGCCTGTGACTACTCAATGTATAACTTATGAAACACAATTAGAAATACCAATGTCTGCCAGTCAAGTGGAAGACCCAATACTATTATGGACTACTGGACTCTTTTAGAATATTTTGCTGAGTTAACACACCTATAATATTCAAATGACAGAACTAAACAAAAAAGGGGATACAGATGAATGTCCATTTTGTATCCATGTATTCAAAATGGTTAGGAGAGATACATAGTTACATTCTCTTAATGAATAGAGGGATTTGTTCTAATAGTGTTTATAAATAGGATATCATGTCTGCATCTTGTACAGCAAATAACCACTAAGAAGTGAGTATGCAATGTGTTAATTATTGAAACTCTCCTACCAATTTGATTTGATACTGTCTCATTGCTATTTGTTTCTCAATAAAATTATGGAAAAAATAAAAAATAAAAATAAAAAGGAAAAAATAAAAGAAAATTTAATGAGGGTTGCAGACTCAACCAAGCAAACCAATGTTGCATAAATAAAATAAAACAATCATAAAAAAAGAAATACAAATGTCTACTTGTAGCCTTTGAGTTATTAGTTCATACCTGATGACAGTATGCTTTTTCTTGCTTTGCAGTGTCATGGACTTTCTGTGGAAGGTTTTGTTCTTCCTTCTTCAACTACTAAAGAGGTAACATTCTGTGTCTTTTACATTTATATAACAGGTGGCTTGCCTGGCTGAAACACTTCTATGATCACTTTTCAAAGTAAAAGACCTATACTTTTATAAACCGTGTCAATATGAATGCATTTGAAGAAAGGAATAAATGTCATTTTTAAAAGTTAAGAATATTGGGCTGAGGATACAGTTTAGCAACACAAGCAAGCACACGCTTGGCAAGTACAAGTTCCTGAATTCTATTCCTGGTACCAAAAAAAGAGAAATTAGAAAATAACTGCATGGTATATTAATTACTGTATATGAGAACAACATCCTTTAATGGTTGATTGAGGTAGGCTATGAGAGGTTGAGTGACAATTAGAGCAGAAAGAATAGAAACTAAGAATGAGTGATTTCTCATGTCCCGCTACCTTCTAATTCCCACTTTCTCACTTTTGTCCAAATCACAAAGAAATGATAACTGGCTTGGTGGCACACGCCTGTAATCCCAGCATTTGCATGTCTGAGGCAGGAGGCTTGCTGTGAGTTGGAGACCAGACTGGGCTACTAAGTGAGCTCAAGGCCAGCCTGAATGGCATAACAAGACCCTGCCTCAAGTCTAAAGATTATAAAGAAGTGAATTTTTCTAAAATGTATAGATTTACAAAGACAACAATATGCAATGCATTAATTATCCATAGGGTGTTTTGTTTTGTTT